TGCCACCATGGCAGGGCCGTGGCATGTAATGGGGACAAACAGGAAAATAACTGTGAAGAGCTTTGAAGATCATAGATTCTTTTTCTTTATTTCAGTGCTGGAGATCAAGCCCAGGGCCCTGCATATGTGAGGTCAGTGATCTAGCACTGAGCTACACCCAGCCCTGGATCACAGATTCATTAGTCTTACCGAGACATCCATTCCTACCTCTCCATTTGTGTCAGTCTAGCAGGCACAAGGTTCTGTATGTCTTTGAATTAAACCCAACCTCCGCAGACCTTGTCACTATCAGTCCCTCATCAGTATCCTCAACTCCCTTGCTTCATCTATTGTTCCATGCCTTGGGGCTCTTAGATCTTGGGTTCCACATGCAGGCCCCTTCTTTGTCTTTCTTCTGCCCTTTCTATGGTAGCTGTGCTTCTTGAAACAGCTCTTTGCTGATTCCACCATCATCCCTCTACCTGTATCATCTCATGAAAATTGCCTTGTCAAGATCATCATGGCAGTGACTTCAGCAGGCTCATGCCGGCTCTCATGAGCTAGTTGGATTCATCTCTTCTCATCTCGAAGTTCACTGTTCTATGTTGGTGGCTCAAAATTGTCCATGGTGGGAGTATTTACATGACAGAAATTGGCACATACTATAAATGGGGATTTCTTCCTTTCTTAAGAACTGGGTGTTAAGTACTACCATCACACTACTGCCAGTGACTTGCTGGTTGCTGAGTGTAAAGGGCATTTTTCGACTTTCCTTCCATGGCTTCATCTTTTTTTTTTTTTTTTTTTTTTTTTGTCTTTTTCATTTTTATCAGTACCGGGGATCGAACTCACGACCGCCTGCTTGCAAGGCAGGTGTTTATGCTGCTGAGCTAAATCCCCAGCCCCTCATGGCTTCATCTTTACTCGACACAAAGCTCATTCTTTCTGAGTGGTTCTCTATCCCTGGATTTCTAGGTGCCACTGCCCCACTTTTCTTCCTACTTCTCTGTCTTCTCTCTTCAGTCTCATGTACAGGCAATTAACTCATCTGTCAAATCTTTGTGTTCTCTGGGATTTCCACTTCTTCGTCATCTATGTTTCACGGGAACATCTTGCATTTCTATTGTTCCAATAATCATAGAACTGAAAGATGACCTTGTATCTCTCCCTAGCCTTCGTATCCCATATCCGATCTGACATCAAGTCCTGGTGATTTTATATCCTCAGTGTCCCTCAAACCCTCTCCCCGATCTCCATCTTCACTGTCACTGTATAATCCAAGCCACTATTGTTTGCAGCCTGGATCACTGTGGCAGCTAGTTCTAAGTGCTCTCCTTCTGCAGCTCTCCAAGGCCTTCTCTACATTTCAATCACAGTGACTACTTTAATAATACAAAACTGGTTAAAATACCTCTTCTTGTCTCAGCCTACTTGAAATCTTTTTTTCCTCTTCTTTTCCCTCTTTCTTTTTTTCCTTCCTTCCTTCTCTCCTACCTTCCCTCCATTTTTCTTCCTGTCTTCCTCTATCCCATGCTAGGCAAGGCTGCATGATTGAGCCTAGTCTGGGCAACTTAGTTACTTAGTGAGACTGACACAAACAGAAAAGTAAAGAGTTAGGGATGGAAGGATTTGATATTTTATAATTTTTTTTCCTGGTGATTTAGAATTCAAGGTAAGAAAAAGAGGATTCCAGGATGACTTCAAGTTGATCTTGAACAATCTTGGCCTCAGTGGCTTTCTATTGCTGTTAACATAAGACCTCTTTGTGTGACCTGGAAGGTCATGCACATTATGGCTCCTATCCACCAATCCATTTCCCTGCGTTCTGGTCACCACTGGCCTCCAATGTAGTGTGCTCCCCCTAGAGGCCAACCTTGGTGTACGCCATTCTATCTAACTAGAAACCCTTTCCTCTTCCAATTCTTACTCATCTTTCAAATCTAAGCTCACAAATAGCTTTTTCAAAGATGACTTTCCTTGAGCTTCCAGACTGTCATATTCCCTTCTATATGTCCTCATTGCACCATACAACGCTTCTTCATAGCACTTATGGTGGCTACAGTTACTCAGCCCTTTGTGTTCCTCAAGATAACAGCTCCAGAGACTGTTCATTTTGCCCTTTTGTATTCCCAGTACGACACAAGTGTTTTGTGTGGATGCAATATACTTTCCAATCCATTTCTTGAGTCAGTACCCTCTTTTGAAATTCAGTCCATGTATTTAGGCTGCTGGTAACATCATCCTTCCAGTTGTTAGGGCTCACCTTGGAGTCATCCGGACTCCTCTCCTTTACCACTTTCTGGTACCTAAGTCACTCTCAAAAGTGTCAAGTATAAAGGGACTTGCTAAGGAACTGAGTTGCCCAGGCTGGGCTCTAACTTGTAATCTTTCTGTCTTCAGTCTCCCAGAGTGCTGGGGTTACAGGTGTGTGCCACTGTGTGGCAGAAAACCTCTCAACTCTATTTTCAAAATATGGCCAGGGATTTAATTTAGCTCAGTGGCATAAGTGCCTGCCTAGCAAGCACAAAGTCGTGGGTTCAAGCCCTGGTACAAAAAAAAAAAAAGCAATATTTTCAAAATACAACCAATATCTTAGCCAGACATTGTAGTTTTCCTAATGGGAGACACAACCCAACCTACGAAGTTGTCTTGCTACTTTCTACACTGTGAACTGGATTTAAAACTAAATTGCAAAGAGAAAAACAATAAAGGGGGGATTTATAGATTAAAAGACAGGTATTATAGTGAGGGGAAATGGGCCAGGGTATAGTTAAAGCAGGACTGGACCAGGAGCAGTGGCACATGGCTGTAATCCTAGACTCGGAGAGGCAGAGCCCTACCTGAGCAGCTCAGCCCTGGGTTCAATCCCCAATAATGAAAAAAAAAAAAAAATTGGTCACATATTGTTGACTGTTGACGTGGATGATGGGTACACTGGGGTATGTCTGAAATTTTCCACGTTAAACAATCTAAAATTAATGTACCCAAAATGTGACTTGTCTGCTTTTCATTACTTCCACCGTTATGCAAGCCCTTGCCGCCTCTCATCTGTCTAATCTGCTTCTACCTCTGCTCTGCCTGTGGTCTCACCACTATGCAGCAGTAGCAGTGACCGCACCCACATCACACCCTTTCATTCTCTGCCCAAGCCCTCCAGGGCTGTCACCTTGCTTGGACCTTTTGAAACCTATGACCTTATCTCCTACCACTCAGCCTCTCATCAGCTCCCCCAGTACCACTGTGCCATCAGAATTTTAAACTCCCTGACAAGGTCTGCAGGGCTCTGACTGCTTCTCAAGTTCACTAACCCAAACTCAAACTTTCAGGACAGTCCACATCCACCTGGGGCTCCTCTACTCACTCCAACGTGAGCCTCTGCACTCTGATGAGAATCAGCCTCATCCTGCTTCTCTGCTCCGATTCTCGGCCCCTAGAGCTCAGGGCTCAGTTTCATGTTTCTCATCAATCTCTTTCACTTGAACTCAAGATTGCCTTGTATCTCCATGGCTCTAGTCTTGCTGAACACTCAAGCATATTATATAAATTAGCAGTTTTACATCTAAGATCTATATGACAAATTTTATTGTAACAATATTTACCCCTTACTCAGAAATCATAAAATTTTGATTTTCCACAAAAATATTCTAAATGAATGAAACTGGTGTCTAAACGTATCGCTAATGAGATAAATATAACCACATGTGTTACCAGTTCTTCCATCAGTTAAAGCGAATACTAAGTTAAATACTCAGTTAAATTTAAAGTGAATACTCTACTGTACATCAACATATGTGCCTGCTCACTGATCATCTTGTTTGAAGAGCTGGGGAGGAACCAAAGGGGACTGCTCTCTCCAGAAGGGAAACTGATTGGTGACCAGGATTTGGAGAGCATAAATGTAGAGTTAACTGATGGAGACAGAGTAGAACCAAATCAACAAATAGGTGATAAGCAATAGAAATGAAAGGACCTGAACTAAAATAAAAAATAATAAAAAAAGACCTGAACTAATTAAAAAATAGGGTCAAACAGAATTACCTTGCATGATTTATTTTTATGCTTTAAATTCAGGTACTTTTTTAGATATTACAAGTTCTTTAAATATTAACTCCATTGTTTTTGTAGATAATGAAGTTAGTTTTAGCAGCTAACAATTTTTGGTGACTCCGGTTTAGACAGTTCTTGAAATATACAATTAATTCTCTTCCAGCTATCATAAGCTTGGAAATCTGAACTATTTTCTCTGTGTTGGTAACACCCTTTTCCATACTATCCTTTGTGGCTAACTGCATATATTTTTAGAATGATTAGCTAAGGGTAGGATAATTTGTGATAACAGAACAGATTTTTTCCATCATTTGGAAAATTGTTAGCTTGTAATTGCATTAAAATTTTACTTCATATTCTTTAAAAAAAGAAAAAATGGGATTAAAAACTCTTTAAAATTGATTTTATAGGGCAACATTCACAGATATGAGAGAAGCCCCAGTCAGCGAAGCTGAGCCTAACAGAGCCTCCTTTCAGCCCTTTACCAGCAGTCACTATAACAAGTATTGTCCTAAGGCTGCGTTACTTTGTCCTGTCTCTCCCCTCCGCTCTTCCTTTAGTTTGCTGAGAAGGAACAAACGCACAGGCAATGGTAGGGCAGGCAGACCTACGTTGGAATCCTGGCTCTGCTGGGGGTGAGAACTTCTCAGAGTCACCATATGATGCCGATATTGATGTGTACTTCAGGATTGCTACTCAACAGTGCAACTTGCTTCCTGTGGGAGAGTAGAGCACTTCCAAGCGAGCATTCACTCTCTGGTGTATAAAACGCTTAACTAGCAGAAGACTTCAGTCTCTCTTACTCCACTTCTTCCTTAATGTCATAATCCACTTGAGTCCTAAGCATGTAAGTAGGTACTGTGAAATGTAAACAAGGAAACCAATATACTGAATGAATAATATGTGTGATGAAGCTGTGACTCACACAGAAGAAAAAGCTGCACAAAGGAATATTAAAACATTTAAAAAGAGACTTAACGTAGAAACAAGCTATTTTAATCAAGCAAAACCAAGTTTATATTCATTATTTCTAAAAATAAAATAAGACTTTTTGACCCTTAACATCTGCATTTAATAATATCTTCTAACCAAAATACAGATGCTAAAACAGCAAGTTACAATATATCTTGTACAGCATACAGTATGTTCACTGTTTACACTTACTTTAATTCTAGTTGGTCATTATGTACTCAATGCATACTTAAACATCACTCATAATAAAATTTTCACAATTAACCAAAAACGGGACAAGGTTGTCTTAAAACAGCTCTGCTATAAATTGTATAGAATATACAGAATTACAAAGTCAAGTATTTTTTATCAAAATATACACCCCTCCCTGAAACTAACACAAGCTATCAACATTTTAAATGAATAATACAATTATAGAAAATATTTGCAAAATTACTTTTTCATGTATAAATATTCTGCCATATTTACTTTGGTCTAGAATTATCAGCATACAAGTCCACTTTAAAAATATCCACATGTAAGGGCTGGGAGACATCACTACATATAATAATTTTATATTTGTAGTTAAATCAAAGTAACTAAACTATGTAATTGATTGGTTCACAATCCTAACAGAAAACAAATGAATGGATCATAAGAATTGCTTATCAATATTCTAATTACCAATTCAAGGTGATTTTCATAAGCCCTTTGTGACTATCTCCTTAACAAAACCCAAAAAGATGGTGCAGGTGTATGTATATACAATATATAAAATAAAGTTGAATTTGCTTGTGTTTTCCCATTCTTCTCTATCCTATAATACTGTATGGAAGTTAATGTTGATAAACAAAAGATAAAGGCAGATATAATATTGGGGTTACTTAATAGCAAAGTACTATGGTATAAGGTCAACTTGAATTGTGTCCTTTTCTGGGTGTGTAAATGTTTTCTGGCCCACCCCAAACCATACTAAGTTTTCTTCATGGAGACATCACAGCACATGGTGAGAGAATCTGGAGTCCTCTGCACTACTTCTTCATCACGATAACCTTCCAACTTTGGATGACCTCGCGATTCCATCTATCAGGTCCATGAACCTGCATCGCTGCTGGTCAGCCTTGAGCTGAGTTCAGAATTCTGCTCAGAGCAGTGACCAAAGAATCGGAATGTATTCTTTCTGCCTCTTATTCTGGCAGTTTTAAAAGAATTACGAGTTCCAGCTTTCCAGGAACCTAGTCCACAGGACAGAATATCTTGTAGGGCAATTGGATTTTTGAGTGCAATGTTGATATTTTGGGTCAGTTAACACTAAGAAACTTAAGTTTGTTGTAAGGGAACTAGATGTCTACAAATATGAGGACAAAGCACTTGGCTTTGTGTATTTGTTTCTGAGCAATATAAGTAAAGGACAGTGCCTTGCCACTCCATAGTCTACCTCCCTAAATCCCAAAATCAAAGCTAGTGCTTGAAGCAAGGAAGGTCATCACTTGCTCTTACCGACTTAAGTCAGTTGTGTGTGTGTTTCTGTTGTCCTTTTGCTTTACATCAGTATGCATCTGTGAGCTGCGTAAACTCCAGGAAGGCTAGTAACTGGAGGGATCAGGCTTTCTGTCACTTTCAAGTGCCTGGAAATTTACCACCCTTGAGATAAATCTCCCAGACATTCCTTCAGTGGAATGGGATTTGCCAGGTTTCTTTGAACCCTTAAATCTGTCTAAACCTCCATATTCATGGCCTTGAGATGGCTGGAAGACTGCAGAGTTTCAGAAGAATCTGACCCTTCTTCATTGCAAAGTATTATACAGCATAGGTAAATTCTGGGAAGCTTTTGTTCACAGATAAGGCGTGACTCATGTTTTCTGTGACTGGAGGCCAGTTCTAAGAACAGCTTGCCGTATTTCAAGAGAACAGCACAGCATTCCATCTAAAAGCATACACATGCTCTTAAATCACATTCAAAATGCTTTCTACTGATTTTTACACCAGTTTTCACTATTTGTAGATCTATTGCTTATAATTCTCTATAGGGGATATGAACAGTTAAAAGTTATAGTGATTTATATACGTATTTTACAAGGTTTATGTTGCAGAAAAGTAGTTATAGATAATGTATGAATGTCCTACTTTAGGGTTACTCATTACACACATATTTTCAGTTACATTGTTAAGTATTTCATATGTATCCATTAATTTAAACATTTTAATAGTACAGAAGCCAGATGGAAATAAATACTGTCATAGCTCATTTACCACTTCACACATTTCGAAGATGCCTTCTTTGTATCTGACCTTTATTTTCTCCAGTGACTAAAGACAGTTCAGCAGCCAACTATCAGCATTTACTAGAAAGTTTTAAATTAGGCTAAAATTAAACTCCTCTTTTGCACTGGTAGAAATACCACAGCTAAGAACTTTCACAAGATATTCACAAGATATTTGGGATGCTGGAGGATTTAGCTATATTGTTTTTACTTTGCATGAAGTTAGTGCTAAAACCCAAAGTAGGTATTAGGATCCTTTTTCTGGAGTTTTCACACTAGAAATTTTTAAAAAACATTTCACTCCTTCATGACTGTTAAGTGAATAAAACAAACCTGAAACAACACAAAAAGAAAAAAAAAAACCCACCAACTTATGTTTTGAAGATTTTTTTCTAACTACTGCCACTCAAATGACGCTTTCAACAATGGTTTGTACATTATCCTTTTGGTCATTGTCTTCTGAATCAACAAAATGTTGATTCTCCGGAGGATCAGAGTTTTCTTGGCACACGTCACTGGTTTTCTCCTGCTGACTTGGATTTTTGAATAAGTGTTTCTTTTGGTGCATCCCAAGGGCAGCAGCTGTTTTGCAAATTTTAGGGCACTGGAAGCAAGCGAAGCCTTTCCCATTATGCTCCCGAATATGCCTCTGCTCATGATTCCTTTTTGTGGACAGATACAAAAAACTCTGAAAACAGAACTGACAGTGGTAACGCTTCTCACCAGTGTGGATTCGTTCATGGATTTTGAGGGTCTCATTCAATGTGAATGCCTTATTGCAATACTGGCAGATGAACTCCTTCACGCCCAGATGGATGCGTTCATGTTTCTGTAAATTTCCTTGCACTGAAAAGCACCGCCCACAGGTCTTGCACTGGTACGGCTTCTCTCCAGTGTGACACCTCATGTGCATTTTGAGTGTGGAAGGGCTCTGGAACTGCTTGGCACAGAGCTCACACACATACGGTTTGGAAGTGAGATGCCGGTGGGGCCTGCCCAGGTTTCCAGCTCCTGACACTTTGTCTCCATCACAGAGTTCACACTGCAGCTTGGGCATCTCTTTATTTTCTTCTTCTTCAAAGGCCTTGTCTGGAGGTGGCTTCCCCACGGCACAGTCCAGCTCTGCTGGGTATTTACACTTATTGCTTGGGCTCTTACTCCCATGTTCTTTCCTCCAGTTGCCTTTCCTCATTTTTCTCAACTGTCTGGATTTCTTTTTGGGCTTGTAGTTGTAGTAAGGGCGCCACGGCTTATCAGTGGAATCCTGATCACTTGCATCATCAAATACTTCACTCATCTCCACACACTCAGATTGGCACAGATCAAGCGGGCTGTCTCTGTGGGTTTCTGGGTCATTCACCTGGGGCGCTGTCTCTTCCTGTGTTTGATACTTAGGTCTTCTTCCCCTTTTGTAAAACAGTTTAGATCCCAGAATATGCCTTTTCACAATGGCTTCGTTCCCAATTTTCACTGTTATTTGGCAAAGGGGTGCAACGTTGCTGTTTGTGGAAGTTCCAGGAAGAGCAGGTTTTGCAATGTAAGTTTCAATTTTACTGGTTTCTTCAGCTGTATTTGTGGCTTTGCTTAATGACCCTCCAGGATCAGCAACGTATTTTGATTCCTCTGCAATTTCTGTCTTGTTACATGGAACAGTTTTCTTTTTCTCCTTACTGCTTTTGGGTCTGCTTGTAAATCTGCCCACTTTGTCTGTCTCAGGCTTACTGTCATCTTTCAGGAACTGACTGACAGCTGGCTCTGAAGGGGCTCTGTGGCTGCTGCTGGCCATGGCAGCAACAGCATTGCTGTGCATTATCACTGATGAGAACTGGCTACTATGCACAATGACTGAGGGTGCAGAGCCACTATAGCTGATCACGGAGGCTGAGTTCTCACTGCCATTACTCAGGGATGAAACAGGTCCATCTCCTGCCTGGAGATCAGAGCTGACAGCATTTTCAGTGGAAGATACTGATACCTCGGTTGAGTAAAAGTTACTGTCTAGGTCAATCTTCACTGCTTCCTCTCTCCATTTGGCACCCTCTGCATTTTGCGCACTGGCAGAAGTGGGTATGTCCTGACATGCCGATGCCTCTAATGGGATGGCTGGGCTATTGGTCAAGGCATTTACACTATCTTGGAAATTCAGTGCAGATAATTCGGAACTGCACGGATTCTGAACAACATAGGTACCAGGTGTAGACTCATTTATTTGCGTGTTTTCTTGAGCATTTTCATAGGAAGAATTTCGGTAACTCTTATAAGGAGCTCTCTTGCATTTCATAGGCAGTAGCCGATAAAGTTTATATGGATAGACAGTAGGTTTCAAGCCTCCATTTGCTGTCTTTTTACTAATGGAAAGCCTATGGTCTATGGCATGGAAAGACTTCTGATGGTTTTTTAGTATATAGTAGGTCATGAAAGTTTCAAGACAAAAAATGCACTGATACCGCCTTTCACCAGTATGCCAAATTTCATGCCTTGTCCTGTACTCAGCCAATGCAAACACTTTGTTGCAGTAGTGGCAAGGATATGTTCTTCTCCAAGAGTGGACATTTGCATGTCTCCGGAGGCTGGATAAAGTCACATAGCTGCGTTTGCACACAACGCAACTGTAGAGCATTTGCCCATTAACAAATTTAACCATGTGGTCCGCATCTGGCAAAGTACTTCCAGTACTGGAAAATTCACCAATCCGATTTTCAGAGAGTAAAGGTTCTGGGCCTGTGATGGAACCACCATTTTGCCCAATGGTGGGGTAATTTTCTAAAAAGCATTGGTTTCCTCCAGGAAGGGGCAACTGGCTTGACCTCATACAGATCTGTTCATGCCGATCCAAACGGTTTAGGGTGGTGAACTGTTTGTTGCAGTACTTGCACACTAAGGGCTCCTGGGTTGGCTTGTGAAGCTGCATGTGGGCACTGAGCAGAGCACTACTGTCGAAGGATTTGGAACAACAGCTACAATTATAAACGAGAGGTGGGACCTCTGCTGCTGGTGGCCCAGGATTACTGGAAGATTGGTTTTCATCTTCCCTGGAAAAATGGACATCTTCCTCATTGTTGGGAGATTTTGAATGAGGGAGAACAGCAGCTGGCTGTGGGCTTCTTTCTTGATTAGTCTCTGGGTTGGTTACTGGAGGGGGTGGTATGTTTTCTGTGGCTGAATCAGAATCCTGGGGGAGGGAATAGGTCTTTGGCTTTCGGCATGTTTTCGGTTTTGTGGCAAGAGCTTCCCCATTTTCTTTACCTGTTTTCCCGGGGGAACTGCTATCGTGTTCCCGGGCAGGCTGGCTTCGGTAGGCTTCAGTGATGGATGAAACAGCATATGAGTGCTCGGCAAGCGTGCGGACGGGCTCTGCCTCGTGGCAGATGTCAGTCCTCTCCAGGCAAAGGCTAGTTGTTCTCATGGAATCAGAGACTTTTTTGAAACTTGCCCTCAAGTCCAGTGGAGAAAACATGTTATTACTGTTCTCTGTTTCAATGATGGAAAATGCATTTGTGATCCTTGGCCCATTAGTGATGGCTGGCTCTTCGTGTCTTTTTTCATTTTTTTCTTCTTTAACCACTCCCTTTTCAGTAATGCAGAATACATAGGGACCTGGAGAATTTGAGAAGTTACGGTCGGTGAGGTCTTCCAAAAACGATATTCCCAGCTTTTTCCCTGCAGCTGCAAGATCAGTGACTGTTTCCTGTCTCTTGACGACGACTGTGGAGCTGTAGATATAATTAAGTATTTCCGTAAACACTTCAGCTTTGAGATCATCCAGCTCCAGGACATGGCTGGAAATACAGATTGTATGGCTCCAGAAGATGTTTTTGAAATAAAGGCTGGAAGCAGCCAGCACATTGCTGTGGGCTTTAAATTTGGTGTCTTCCACAATGATAGTAACATCACATAAAATGCCTCGAATACGCTGCTCATTTAAGATGGAGAGCACAGTGTCACTGTGGAAGTCATCCTTGAGGTCCCTAGAAAGGGACATGACTGTCATCTGAAATAAGAGGAGAGAAATGATCAGAGCCCCATTCACAGTGTCTTCTTTATTTCTAGACCATATGCAACTTCTGAGAAAAAAAATTGTCACAAAAATTCAGGTCTTTAATTTTGTTGGTGTTTTAATTCCATTGTTGTTCCCAAGATTTGGAGTCAACATTAGAAGCTAAATCTTTTTCTTACCAGCCTATTCCTCATGCCATCCTAATAGCTGTAGTTGGAAATCTTCCCAGAATACTTTCCCCACTTAAAAAAAAAATAAGTGTAACTATAAACACATGTCCAAGCTGGGGAGAGGTCCTAAATGTTAAGGGGCCTCAATGTCACTGAAGGGTGTTGCGTTTAACCTTGGAATTGGGCAATTCCGTGGTCCTGCCACAAGCTTCTTAACTCTTTTCAAAGATAACACTGATGAACTGATCCAAATATAATCATGAAACAAGAAAAAAATTTTAGGACAGTTTCCCCACTTAGTGGCCCCTATGTGATGATATTACCTGCTCAGAGAAATGGCAAGGATGGAAGAAGCCATTCTCTGTGGCTACAGCTGCTGTCTGTGTGATTGAGTCTGACCACCAGGGGCACCCTGCCTCTCTACTCTAGTGGTCCTGGTGGGGGGGAACTGTCCCAGTCCTTTTCTGATTTCCCCTTTGCTATTGCCAAAATACACTAGGGTTTCAAAAAGGACTCTGTGAGGTCCTGAAGGCAAACAAGAAGGAGACAAAGCACAATACCAGGAAAGTATAATTCTAAGTCTACAATAATGTGTCTCATGACAGATTCCTAAATTAGAACACTTTAAAGAAACAGCGGTTCTTGGTCTGGTCTGAGGATCCCATCTTTGTTCTTCTCTACATACTTTACCCTTGCATATCACATACACGTGTGTGCATACACGCACATAGTGAAGGAAAATGTCACTGTTCTCCATAAACTCTGAGCGTGGGATAAAACTAACATAGCTAAAACTTACTATTTTCACTTCCTACTAGTAGGTCATTCTTGCATTTAAGAACAAAGCATGTCTCTCTGGGCTAGTCTACAAGCACTGGCTCCAGAGAGCCGTATAGCTTGAGGATATGTCTTTAACTGCGTATGGCAAGGACCTTCTAGCGCTGGAGAGTAGCAGTTAGCCCATGGCACTTAGTTGGAAAAACCACATGGCCACACAAAGAGCTCTCTTTACCTTTTTGAAAAGCTGCCAATATAATCTGAGCTAATTATAATATTTAACATTCTTTATGCAATCATCCATTTGATAAATGCTTTTATCAAATTCATCAATAGGAAAAAGTACCTTTCTGTTAACAAATACTTCAACTCAGGTAACAAGAACCATATAATCACCATATTTCTCTTTTAATTCTTGAGACAAAGATGCTTAGAACTAACTTTTGTCAGGTTGCAGCCATTCTTAGTCTGGGTTTTAAATGCTGACAAGCTTTTAACTTTTTTGTTAAGATTTTTGAATATGTTAAGTTTTTGTTCTGTTTTGAGACAGGGTCTTCTCAGGCTGAACTTGTGGTGATCCTCCTGCCTCAGCCTCCCAAGTACTGGGAGCACGTGTCGCTATATCTGGCTGAATATGGTAAATATTTCTAGACAAAACTGACACACAAAAACCCTCTGGGCCTTTAATCATCTGTGTAAGTATAAGCAGGTTCTGAAACTAAAGAGCTACAGAACTACCACATTACAGTAGCTACAGAACTACTATATTAACCAAGAAAAAAATTTCTGCCTCCAAGAAATTATTTTACTACAGTATTATATAAGTATGTACATATGCATGTATGTGGTGCTGGGGATCAAACAGAGTTTCATGCATGTTAGGCAAGTGCTCTCCCACTGAACTAGGTCCCGGCCCTTTTTATTTTGAGACAGGAGCTTGTTAAATGATCCAGGCTGGCCTCAGACTTTCCATCCTCCCGTCTCAGTCTCCTGAGTAGCTGAGATTACAGGTGAATGCCAGTTCATGCCTATCTCAAAAATTATTTTAGTGAATAAAGAAAATTACATGTAAGCATAAAAAAAAGTAAGCATAAAAATAAAAGGACTAAAGACAAAGTGAATAAAATTTGGTAAAACACAAAGCAGAAAATCCCAGGGTACAGATGGGGAACTCAAGGGATGCATAAACACAGGCAGACTCATTCACAGCCACATATATACTTTTTACACCTGTCATTATTTTTCCAGGCTTAGGGTGGTGACTTGGATTTGAGCATGGCTGAAAAACCAGGTAGATCAATATGTTCATCTACAGGAAGGTGAAACTTGTTCCTTTGAAGAGCTGCTGTCATATTCTACTTAATCTACTGCTGCTTGGACCCTTGCTCTCCAGGCATGGCCACAGTAATCTACTCAAATAATTCTATTCATTAAAAATTAGCTCCTCCCCCTTCCAACTATGACACTGCTTTCAGGCCTTGTTTCCAGTCACTGTGGGTCTGAATTTGAAAATAAAGGAAACAATTCAAGTATTTCCAGAATAATTAAATCTGCTGCCCATCCAATCAGTTAAGGCAATTTTACTGAAATATACAGAAGTAAAAAACCCTACAAAAAACCAAACAACTTAAAATGATAATTCTCATATAAACTCTCATGAGTTAACAACAGACATCTTGAAAAACCTCTTTATATTGTTAACTAATATATCTATCACAAGACTTTTACAGCCTTTTATATAAGCCCTATAATAAAATTCAGTGTATTTGCCTCACTAAATCTTTTAAGACATGACAGAGAGGAGAGAGAAGTAACTTTCCCAGTGTAGGTTAATGCGGAATTTACTTCAGGCTACTCTCCAGAGTAGAATTGAACCCCGTTTTTCTAAATCTTCTGATCAGAGGTCAAGACCAACAGCCTCTTGCCAGCATTTTGGCCACTCAATTCCTAAGATAATAAAAAATAAAACCAAATCAACAGAGCCACTTCCTCCTCTCTACTGCACGTTGTCTTCTATAAAAAGAAACTCAGAAGTAAACCCTAACTAAAAAAAGAACACACTGTATTAGGATACGTACTGACCTGGAATCCTGCAAAAGTCACACTTGCAGTCCATACTAGGCCAGCCCGTGTGGATGCGGGATCTATTGTGCAGGTCTGCCAGTCCCTGCGGGAAGGGTTCTGACAAAAGACATTTTGCTGCAGGGAGCGGGCTCCGCCATCCCACGCAAATCTCCTGCACACAGTCATGCTAGGTATCTACGTCAGACCTCACGTGATGGGGTGTTAGAAACAAACGCATCAGATCTCCAAAACAGATTACAAAACAGAAGCTCTTTATAGAGTTGGGCTGAGTCTAGGAAAAGGAAAATCCTCTTGATTTCATCTTTTAAATGTGGCCAAAAAGAGGAACAGAAGAGCTACCTTATCAGGCTTTAATGCACTTAAAGCTATGGGATTCAAGAAGGCACGGTGGGACAAGGGTGTTTTTTTTTTTTTTTTTAACTAACTCTAAGCAGCCATTAGGGTGTTGCTAGTGTGTACCCCAGAGGGAGGAAGGGAGGCTGAGAAAACCTCACCCATTATCTTGAGAATCTAAACAATGGGCTCCAGACTTGTAGTTGCGTGCAATAGGTTGTGAGAACAAGTACTGTCAGATTCATGAACATGTAAAAGGCCTAAACATTTTAGGTTCCCTGCTTGGGAAGATGAAAGGAGGGTTTCTTTCTTTCTTTTTGAAATGCAGCAGTGTTTCAGGGTAGCCTGAGTTATTTGAGCTTCACCTTGGGATCAAGCTTGTTGGGACATCTGCCGGCTTATTAGAGAATTCCTTTCTGAAGGCCTCCAGTGCTATGTCCTTGTTAGCTTTACCTACATGCAGGAGTCCTGAATTTATAAGGCACTTTAAACGAGATGAGGACCAAGGGAGGGTACCCAAGGATAGGGTTTCTTTCCCCTGAAAACTATCATTGTAGGGGTGAGCTACCATTAAGAGCTGGTTTCAGATCAGGTGGGGTAAGGCACACCTGTAATCCAAGTACTCTGGGAGACAGAGGCAGGAGGATTACAAGTTCTAGCCCAGTCTGGGCAATTTAGTGATTTACTGAGACCCTGTCTCAAGATAAAAAATGAAAAGGGCCAGGATATAATTCAGTGTGAAGGTCCAGTGTTCAGTCCCCAGTACTGGGTGTGTGTGTGTGGGGGGAGTATGGGGGGAGCTGGTTTCAAAGGCCAAATACATTTTGTTGTGAACCTAAAGGGCCCCCTGGTTTAACGGAAGTGACTGCAATCTCGAGGGTGTGGAGGAAGTGCTACTCATTCTGGACTCTAAAAGAATGACCCACTAACTAGTGACTAGTGGCAAGGATAGGTCTTGTTCTTTTTTCCTTCTGGTACTGGGGATTGAACTCATGACCTCACAGTTGCCAGGCAGACGCTTGTGCTACTGAGCTGTACCACCGCCCCTAGAATGGATCTTCTAACATGGACAGAGCACCAGCTCCTGCTTGCTCTTCTAGCCCTGAGGTATAGTGAAAGGTGAACAGGACGCTAAGATTCTGGCCCTCTGCCCTCCTCACTGTTCACTGCTCCATCTCCACCACTCAGTAATTTTTTGTTGAATAAATAAGTGGAGTATCTATTCATATAAAATAAAAATGGCTTACCCTGACTAAAAAGCAACCTTCCCCTTTATCCTTCATGCCCACCTGCCTTCTTCCTGATCTGCTTTTTGGCATTTCCACAGCAGACATAATATTCCACTATATAGGGTACTTATTTATATAGATTATCCATTTCCTTGCTATAATTTAAGTCCCACAAGTTTAGCAATCTGATTTTCTTTACTGATGCATCATCAAAAAACAAGGACATGATCTAATACATAGAAGGCCATCAGTAAATACTCATTTAAAAATAATCTGTATTATAAATAGACATATACTTGAAGTCAATACTATGCAAAGATAGTTGCCATACATATTGCTGATTATAATTTTCATTTATCTGAACTCAACCAATTTTAAATGAAATTATTTTACCTGATACATTTCAAGTTGCAAAGCACTTTGCAAATTAATTTCTTCACCTCCACAATTCTAGGAAGTGAGCACGCAAAATGGAAATATTACGATGTGCTCACAGCATTAAATCAATTAAGGGAATCCATGCTCAAGATACGGAAGCCGATATTATTATCACGCCACAGTGTGGATGTAGAAAGTAAGCCCAGAGAAGTGACCTGCTTACAGAGGACCATGTGATTTCTGCTGGCAGAACATGTTCAGCCTGCTGTACTCTGCAGCTTTGTGCGCATGTGCGTGCATAGCAGTAAATAAGCCAAAGCAGGTGACTTGCTCTATACAGCACAAAAGGGCACGGCTGGGTCCCTATGTGTATCATACAAGACCACTTCGAAAGAAGCTTCACACTGGGATCTAAGAGGAAGACTTCGAGGGGACAGCAAGCCTGAATCACATGCTAGGAAATCACTGAAAGATACCACAGAATGTACCAAAAGGCCCCTGAAGAAGGGGACCAGAGGGCTGGAGTTAGGCAAGCAGTTCCCTGACTTGGTGGCAGGTGTGTTCCCAGGATAATCTAAGCAGTGTTGAGCAAGTGGCCTTAGACCAGCTCTTTCACAGCTTGCCAGGTAAACAGCAGCTGGGCAGTAGGCATTTTCCAAGGGGCGCCTGGCAATCAGTCAGTCAGACTATTTGCCCCACAACCCAGGATATGATGATTGAAGTAAGTTTTCCTGTGTCTCTTTCTCTCTCATTACAGGCCTGGGGTTGGGGGACCCAGAGATTATGAAGCTCCTGCTGGGAACGTGCTGCAGGAGACCAGTAGGTGAGAGGCCCCCGAGGAGCACTAGGGGAAGAGACTCTCCAGGGCAGAGCCAGCTTTGGAGACAGGGAGGAGTCCCCTGACCAATATGAGCCAGGTCATGATTGGTGAGGCGCATCAGAAACCTACATGCAAATCCCATGATCCCTACAAAGCTTATAAAGCTCCCTGTGATCTGACTCCATTTCCGGCCGCCCTACCTACTCCACACAAAGCTTCTCTCCGTTCCTTGAATGTGCTAGGTCCTTCCCATCTCAGGACCTGCAGCTGCTTCTGCAGTTTGGAGGATCTTCTAGCCACGGCAGCAGGCTTCCCTGGTCTCCATCCAAAACCCACCCCCCAAATCAGCTTTCCTTGCTACACACTCAAAGGATACTTTTCTTTCTCTTATTATATTTGAAATATGTGTGTCTTAACATAGAGCACAAATTCTGTGAGGACTGAAACTGCTTACTAGTGTCTCTAGCCTTTGGAGCCCTACCTACCCCATAATAAGTGCTAATAAACCTTAATAAATAAATGGGAAAGCAAAAACATCTCAACACTAAGCTTTATGGAGCTACCGCTTCTGATTGTTACCATGTTTTCAGGCCTGCTATTTTCCATCTACACTACTGGGAGAAAAGACCCTTGATGAGTATTAAAACAAAAAGAGTTAAGAAGATATTCTGACACAGAAAAGGAAAAACAAAAACACTACATACAAAACAAATCAACATTGCTGGCCTAGAGTTGCTTAAGACAAACCCCGGCCATCCATTGTCCAGGAAGATACTACTGTCCAAACAAGTTAAAACACCAAAACACAGCTCCAAACTGCTTACTCTTGCTGTTCGATCCTCGGTACCGATAAAAAAAAGAAAGAAAGAAAGAAAGGGGCTACTGTGATCCCTGCATATGCTGGAACCCTGCCATGAGGACTTTCCAAGGGTGAACTTTAGCCACCCACACCCCCTCCAAATGCATTGATGTCCTTGTGGAAAACTTACTCATCTGGTGGTAGGAAGTTCATGCAAATGTGCCGTCCACGTGCGGCTAACAAGCTGTCTGTATGCCCAGCACGCCTGTACACCCTACTCACACATTATCCCCCTGACTCCTTGCAGTATGTATTTGGAAATGATAAAATTGAGACTCAGAAAGGCAGTGGCATTGGCCTGGATCATTCAGGTGGCAGAGTGGCAGAGCTGGGATCCAAACCCAGACACTGTGGGTTACCACTCTGTTTCAAGACCAGGAGGATCAAGTACTAAAACACTTTGCTTCTCCATGCCCTTCTTGATGCACTTAGTGAAACACGCATGTACTGGAAGCCAAACTGTCAAGGTGCATAACGCATCACTTCAGGCTACCCTCTGGTGCGTGTCTGGCAAACGATAGCCTGGACTTGTTTCGAAGGCTGTTCGGAGCAGGGGTCCAAGTTGTACCCAGTCTCAGCCTGGAGCCACCCCGTGGGGCTTGGCCAGCTACATTCCCCAAGTACAGGCCTGCTCTCTGCCAGAAGGCTGCAATTTCTTTAATGTGCTCAGAGATAAAGGTATCCTAGGGTGGATATTTAAGGGAAACTCAGTATTTTCCATGAAATTCTACTTTTAATTACTTTTCTTTAAAAATGAAAATTATTTATTTATTCATTCAGTCATTCATTCACTTAATATTTTGAGATAAGGTCTTGCTATGTAGTTCAGGCTGGCCAGGACTCACTATGTAGCTCAGGCTGGTCTCAAACTCTTGGAAGTCCTCCTGCCTTAGACTCCCAAGTGCTGAGATTACAGGCATGTACCACCATGCCTGGCAAAAAATGTAAACTTTAGGCCAGGGGTTTAGCTCAGTGGCATAAGTGCCTGTTTGGCAAACTCAAGGTCGTGAGTTCAATCCCCGGCACCAAAAAAAAAAAGTACACTTTAAGTATGTTGCACTCAAATATTAATTAGGTTTTCTTTTTATTTATTTTTGTTCCAAGAGAGTACTTATGAATGCTTGCCACTTACCATTTGAGTATAGATCAAACTTCACCACAAAGGGGACACAGAAAGGCAATGGTAAGGAAAATAAAACGTGAGAGGACAGAGATTCCCTAAAGCACTGTACTAGTCCATTCATAAAATAGGGCTTTACTCAAGAATAATTTAGGGTAAGGCAGAGTGTGTCTTATCTCAGACAGTGGCACAGAGCCTGTGTCTTGATGTCAAGTGGTCCTGGTGCTGTCATGACTTTGGGCAAGTTTCTTACATTTGTGCCTCAGTTTCTTCATCTGTCAAGTGGAACTAATATCAGACTCTACTGGGGTTAACATGAGGATTGAAGGATAACAGCCCACTGTGTTTGCTGAAGGATTTGCTGTAGTGTAGCACAGACTCAAGCTCCATGAACAGTAGCTACTATCACTATCATCAAATTACTGTATCATCAGCTGCAAATGTCAGCAGGAGCAAGTAGTAGCTAAAGCTTGGCCCTAGGCCCAAAGTTAGGGAATGTGAAATCCTTCCATGGTCCAGAGCCCCCAGCCCTTCACACTGCTTGACACCCCAGAAAGGCTCCAGCCATCTTTTGAGTTTCTCCCAAACCTTAGCTATAATACACATGGGCATTTTGTTACAAGTACCATGGAAATGGTTTTCTTTTCTTTATTTAGTGGCATTGTTAGCATTTCTTTGAAGGCTGGGGTTAGGGGAAGTATAGTAATAATTTAAATAAAAATCTTTCAAGTTAGCTATTTATTAGCTGTTCTGGTAAAAAGCCTGGTATGAAGGGGACCAAAATAATCTTTTTAAGATAAATACTTACACCGTCAATACATTTCCCTTATGCATTCTTTCCTTCTTATCCAAAAGGTCACTCAAACTTGGCTATAAATTTACAAATAAAAATCAAACTAGGGTAGAATCTGTTGGTTGCCTTGCATGCCTGTTTTGGACAGGGACGCTGTTTTCCCATCCCCAGCTTTCTGCCTCATTTCCTCTTCAGTCTGTTTACAGACTCTGGGCAGATTGCATCTGCTCCCTTTCCTCATGCAAAGGGGATTTTTGTAGAGCAGTCTTGGGGCCACTGAGTCCTTACTTTATTCTAGAAACCTTAAGAGAATTATTGGTCTGGTTTAGAGAATGTTTTCATGTTTCAGTTTTTGATTTGAGAAATTTTAAGTCTCAAATGAATGGATTCAATAGCTTGTGTTTTGCTCAGTAATAATACTGGGATTCTGTTTTGAGTTTAGTGAATTTATGTGCTTTATTCTAAATTATAGTTCCAGCTTCTATCAAAGTACTTGACTAAAATTACAACTGTTGGATGTAGTAGAAAATTTCAAGCTTTTCTTTTCCTGTTTCACCAGGTCATCCTTTCTTTTCCT